CGTGGAATCTGCGCGAAACCCAAGCGAAAACCAGTTCAGCAACCTCAAAGCTCCAGGTTTTTTATGTGCCTGTGACCTCCTAAAAGGCTTAAGAACCCCATATTGGGGGCCCATACTTCTAATCTTATAGTTTAGGGTTTGGGGGTTTAGGGTCTAGGGCTTCAGCTTTAGGGTCCAGATTTCAGGGTTTAGGGGTTAGGCTTTGGGTTTATTAGGCTTCAGGGTCTAGGAGGCTTCTTATTAGCTGGGCAAATTACGCACATTCAGTATCCTGATTTTAGGGCAATTTGGGCATATTCCTAGTAGTAGTCAAGGTGTTTCCTATAAAGGTTGAGACCGTGGGGCTCTCCCGAAGGGTACCAGGTAATTATACAATGATACCAAAAAAACCCTGACCAAGGACTACCCGCAACTTCAAGAAAGCCACACCAAGTTTCAGTTGTAAGCGCAAAATCGCGATTTCGGCAAGCTTGCATGGAATTATAACATTCCCCTTGGGACTCAAACTACCGAAATGGGCTTTTGCGGTATAATATGATGATATAGTTCTTGTAAAGTTGGCACGGGAATGATTCAGGTTGACAAGCCCTAGGCCTCAATCCGCCCCGTGAAAAGACAGTTTTGGGGGAATACTACCCGTAAGGTCCCATACAATCCCTGTTTATGATGAAAAGCAACCGTATTAAGTAGCAGGGTTCAGATCAAACAGTGTTTGATCTTCGGGCATAGTCCGAGAACTCACTGATCCCTCTCCCTCCTCCTTCCCTCCCTCCCTGATGAGGCTGATGATGGTTTCCCCTGTGGCAATGTAATCAGTTCACGGCGTGTGTGCCCATAAGGTGCACTTGGGGGAGGCGGCGCTAAGTAGCAGGTTGAGTTGAGTAGGAAAGGGGGTACCTGTTAATCCTAGTGAGCATGCCGCATCATGCTAGCCCCCTCAGCTTTCTTGAAAGTCCGGCATGGCATGCTCAAGACATCACTAGAAAAGCGTCCCACATGCTGCTTCTTCTTGGGCGAATTTATTGTAATGGCCGGAAGGGAGCAGGAACTTCATTAGATGGCCGGGTAGCTGATGCTTAGGCACAGAATTCAAGAAGTCCAGACGTGGCATCGGCCCAGTGTACACTGAGCGTCGCCGTTTTCAACCACTGAAACCCCAAAACCGGCTCCAGCAGCGCAATCTGCGGAAAGCCCATGAAAAAGCCCCCAGGGCTGCACATAGCCCAAAGCAGGTACCACTTGACAAGCCCCAAGGTTCAAGGTTCACCGTACACAAGCTCCCAAAGACAAGAGCAATCTTTACCCAGAGGGTCCAAGTAGCCAATAATTAGGTACTTGGGATTTGGGTAATAGTAATTGTAGTACAGGTTTTGGGGAAGTATAGGATTATTAGGTACTTGGACCCTTAGGGTTAGGTAACGCCCCCAATGATGACCATTAAGGGATAAGGGCAATCATATTGCTTTCCCTCTATATTGCTGGTCTGCCCCTATTACCGCGTGGGGGCCTAATCCAAAGCAGAACCCGCTACGGCTCCACAATCTAAAAAATTGGTGCCAAAGGGTTCAACATGTCAGCGCAAAGTGACAACAACCTCGCAAGACGAGAGCACTGTTCAGGCGTATAATAGGACCCCCCCTGAGTAATAGCGACAATTATCACCCTAAACTGCCTAAACCCTAAGCCCGTATCTATTCCCCTACAACCCTAAACTACAGGTCTCCCTGTTCTGCCTAAACCCTAAACCCTATAAAATTCTAACCCTAAACTACAGGTCTAACTCCTAAACCCTTCTATAGAACATCCGTACGAGCCTCGCGTCCTCTCGGCGTGTACGTGCGCGAGACCTGAGGATGCCGATGCCACATGAGCTGTAGTAAAAGGGGGGTTATATAGGGATTAGATTTAAGATTTAGGGTTTTATAGGGGATTATGTAGGGGACTACTACAAGGGTATACAAGGGTTATTATAAGGGGGTACGGGGAATTCGTTTAAACTATGGCCACATGGTTTAGGGTTTACAGGGGTTCAGGATGTAGGGTTTGAGGGGTTTAGAGGGGTTTAGGATGCAGGGTTCAAGGGGTTGTGGGTGCAGGGCTTTACAGGGGTTTAGGATGTAGGGTTTAAGGGGTTTAGGGTTGTTCGAGGGGTGTAGAAGGGTTTGGGATGTAGGGTTTAAGGGGTTTGGGGGTCTAGAGGGTTTAGGATGTAGGGCTAAGGCGTACGGGGTTTAGGGTTTAGAGGTTTAGAGGGGTTTAGGATGTAGGGTTTAAGGGGTTTAGGGTTTACAGGTTTAGAGGGGTTTAGGATGTAGGGTTTAAGGGGTTTAGGGTTTAGGGGTCTACAGGGTTGAGGATTTAGGGTTTAAGGAGCTTAGGGTTTCGCAATCCAGGATGTCTGGCACTTCACGTCATAGTATGAGGGCCTAGGACCATCACAAAGTGTTATATACATGTTGCAGTCCTTTAGTGGGAGTGGTTTGTATAGAGTTTTGCTATGGAGCTGTAGGATGATAAGACTTGAGCATTAATTATGTGTCGCGGTTAAGGTTTAGGGTTTTTTGGGACAGATAACTGCAAAGACATGCCGCAAATTGCTGAGGGTATTCTTGGAACTGCCTAAGTAGCGCTTTATCGTCTCAAACCCTAAGCCCTAAACACAAGTCTTAAGGGTCCATGTTCCCCGGATCCAAATCTGCAGACGGTATCGCGCAACTCCAACATGCCGTAGGTCATTCCCCCTTACAGTGCAGGCTGCCACAAGTGGTACAAGAAGTTCTTATAGCCCTGGACTAGAGACAGCTTAGCGACAGCTACTGTGAGGCGGAATGATCCAAACTATATCTGAGTACTTGGAATTTATACAAGGGAAGCTTTGGCAACCTAGCCTCCGCCCTGAACGTTGGCTTGAAACCCCCTTGAGTCACTGCTGGAACTTTGGGAGGTTTTCTAGGTCGCGAGCAACCATCACTTGTTGGCATACTTTAATTCGTTAGCGGAGCTAACAAAGTGCATGTATAGGGCCGAGCGTCTTGAGCCTAGCGTTCTTCAGCGGATCTATCTCAAACAAGCTTGGAGATCAAATATTCTGGGGATCCAAGGCTATAAATAAGACACACTTTGAAAGATCCTTAACCCTTAGTTAACTAACTACTCAGTTAACTGATTCATGGTTAATTCAGTAATTAAGTAATAGTTATGAAATAGGTACTCAATCAATGCTTATGTTGTGCTTTTGGGTTCGCTGGGGATAGGATTACATGTAATGGAGACTTTTTGGGGAAGAAGACTTTGACATCGGCCGCTATATAACTCACGTTTGGCTGGGTCTATGTACAACTGAAGGCCCCTAGAATCCTAAACCCGCGTAAGCCCTAAATCCCAGGCCTTACACCCTACACCTCAGGCCCTAAATCAGCATGGCAAATACAGAGCCTAAGCCCCAAAACCAATCAAAAAGCAAAAGTCTTCACTTGGAGGCTCAGGGGACTTACGTGCCACTTAGACAGAGTTTAAGATCTGGGGCTTGGGGGTAAGAACCCAAGTCGGTGAAAAGTTGTGCTGTAACGGCAGCAACAGCAGCTACTCAGTCCCATGAAGCTCCCGACAACCTGGCCTACGGTTCAGGTTTCGGGTCTAGTGTCTAGTATTATAGCAGATTAAGGCTTCGCGGGTACAAGCCTTTCTCAAACTAGGTGTGCATGACAACAGGCAGGGACCAAGAGGGGTAATCAGTACGCGATGTCGGTAAAGATCGCTTTCAGCATTGTTGCATTATAGGGAGGGGCAACATAATCGTTCGTGACATTCGGATTGAAGTATAAGAGGCCGTGGCGGTCTGACTTGGAAATTCCATGCGAGGATATTTTGAGAGACAAGCAAGACTTGTTTGAACCAACTGCGGGCAAATCGTAGCAATTCACTAACCGAAAATATGGCCCTCTTAGCACTATAAACATGCGCCTTTAGGCTGAGGTCAGCTTCTGTCACTCTAATGTATTGGAACCCTAAACCCAACACCTTTAACCCGAGGAAACAGCGTGAAGTAATGACTCCGCTTAGCCTCTCCTGGGTTGAGCCTTTCAAAGGGGCTCTCAGTCCTCGGCTTTGTGCAGGATTCTGGGACTATGATGCTTCCTATGGCTGCACAGCCGCTGGGAGTGCGAACCCTTGCCCCTTAAACCCTAAAACTGCACATGAAACATTGTCTAAACTCCTAGTATCCCCCTTAATAACCCCTATAATTGTCCCTTACAGAATCCCCTATATAACCCCCTTTAAGGAGTTCAGACTAAGCTCACATGGCTTTTTGAGCGCACGGTTTCAACCTCGTCTCAGCCTCGCTGGCTGTAATTTGGAAGATTGAAGCAGACGCAGGAGATGCCCTGAGGTCACAAAATCCCTGCTTATGGATCCCTCTAACACGGGTATATCCATACATGTAGGGAGAGCTATATAGAGGGATGTATACTTATATCCGTACATATAGACAGAATTATATAGAGAGACGTATGTTTATATCCATACATGTACAGAGAGTTTTATACATACGTATAACGTGAAAGGCTTGCAGACAATAAGGGGCCCCATCTTAGGCCTGCTCCTATAGCAATTAAAGGGCTATACTATACTGGGGTCTATATTGCCGCGCCCGACTTACGGACCCCCCCTATCTGTTTTGTAGCGCCATCGCTAAACCTAGACTGTAAATCCTAAACCCCAAGCCCTGCCCGTAAACCCTAAACCCTAAACCGCCTAAGCCCAAAACCGCCTAAGCCCGAAACCCTCAAGCCTAACCCACGCTGAACTTTCATCAGAGGGAGCTTCAGCGGCGCATCAGGGGCACGTATTCAACTGCCTCGGCAGAACATCGGTCTCCCCAAACAGGCTCAGGATATACTAACCCCAAATATCCCCAGTATTACCGTAGTTACTAAATCCCCCTGACCTCCAAGTAGGGTTTGGGTTTAAGGGCTAAGGTTCTTCAATGCGCGTTTTGCAGGCAACCTAGCAGTCCATACCCCCCGCCTTATGCCTCGAAACAACCTCGTCAAAGCACCTCCCTTGAAGCTGGCCAACCAGACTATTCTGTAGAGTTTAGGGTTTAGGGTCTAGAATTTCTCCAGAAGTCAACCCCTCATTCAAGAGATTTGATGCGTATCAAAGATTTAGGGAAAGTTTTTTCTTGCAAAGCACACCTTTCAAAATTCTGGGTCCCCCATATTAATTGGCTTTTCCAGAGGGAGCTGCATTTTTGGAAATCTGCAATGGGCTAGCCTGCACTGGGGGATCATAGTTGAACATGAATCTTATAGTTGCATTAGGCCAATGCCCCAGGAATATACGAATGTATTCGAATTCATATCCCCAAAATTCTCTCCATGATCATACTAGTTGTTCGTAGTTACAATAACAGTAGAAATGCAAGAGTAACAAGGAAGTACCCAAACCCTCTAACTTATAGGGGTTGCCAGTATACTTACTAAGTCCCCCTGACTCTCCAAGTATGTCTAGGGATCCAAGTCTACAAATAATACCTGCACTAGGCCTCACAGTCTGTATACTTTACCTACATTGGGCTATTTGGATCCCTAGGGTATTCGGAAAAGAAATACCAAAACCTGACTGAACCATGGCTTTTCCATCTCTTGTTGCGCATGTTTGGAAGTTCATTGCCCATTGCTCTCACACTAGCACGACCGAGGAACAATGTTTACGAAATATCCCTAGATGAGTGGATACCAGGATGGGATTCGTACAATAAAGATACCTTAGGGCTTAGGGGTTAAGGGTTTCAGGATTATGGGTTCAGGGAAATTGCAGCTGAAACCTTCCGACGAAAGCCCCCAGGCAGAGACTGATTCAACTCATGACCTGTGTCCGTATACATGGCCAGACAAGGATGAACCTCGGACCCAAAGACATGCCAATACCTGGAACAAACAGCAGTAATAGTAATGATAGCCATTGCTCCAAAAAATAATGTAAATGGTAAAAATACGAGTAACAACAGTAATCATGGTGGTAATAGTAAGAATAGTAAAAATAGCAATGGTAAGATATTCTGGATAACCCCTTTTTTTTCCGGGGTTAGTAGGGAATAAGGGACTGCATTATGTAGGCAGTATATAGGGATGATCTTCCTTTCTTCCCTACTAGCCACCAGTTTCAGCAAGTCTTTAAAGATCCCTTCTTACTTTAACCGAAACCCAAACCCCAAACCACTAAACCCCAAACCCTATACCCACTTGGTCAACCCACGGCTTGTGTAACACTAGAGCGGCGCAGCGCTGAATCCTAAATGCCTCAACCCTAAAACCCCAAAGAAGCCCAGTACACCATGAAGCCTAAACAAGCCTAATCCGCTCCCCCTAATATCAGACACCCCCACCCCCCTCCCATAATTTGGTATAATCTACCATATTGAGAATATTTAACTTTAGGGGGGTGGGGGGGGTTTATACACCCTGAGCCCTAATTTAAAGGCACCTAAACCCTCTAACCCAGTACACTTCTGTTAAGGGACAAACTTAAGAACCATTCAAGTTTCCCAGCTTATAATCTCTAACTGGCCATATATATGTAGGCTCCCCGAGGTACGACTTCGGTTCTAATTCTATGCCCTAAGAACCTGCCTGTAGATTCTATCTAAGCCCGAAAGGCTAAACCCTGCACCGCAATACCTCCTAGAGATCATACACCTTGACTCCAGACCTTCAACCTTTGTTGATAAGCTGTTGAGACACTTGAACTCCTATGGAAACCCAGTTTCCATTTTATTTTCGGCTTTCCCTTCCCATGTGACATTGTTGCCGTAAGATCCCCAAGCGCAGTCTCTTTTTATCCCCCAAACTCGATAAGCCCATGAATGGACCTACTTTCAGTTTCATTTTCCATGTTCTTTTCCATTCGGTTCCGCACCATTAACGCCTACACCCTAAATCCATAAATCTATATCAAACCCCTATATATCCCCTTGACCCTAAACCTTAAACCCTAAACTCGAGCTTATGCAAGCCAGCTTCTGATGGAGTGTGGCAACCAGCTTGCAGGCTTCTGGCTTCGCGTTCTTGGTGCCAACAAGATGGAGGATATAGGTTTTTCAGGGCCCGTTTGAAGGGGATACATGGATTAACCCTAAACCCTAAGCCCTAAACACTAAACCCTAAAGGGTCTTATATGGACTTATAGGTTTAGGGGTTGTGGGATGCAGGTCAGCAGGGATTGGGGCTTTCTCCTCAGAATCACTTCCGCCGCTTTAAGGCTTGGGGATTGAGATGGGGATTCCGGTTGGCGTTTAGGGCTTCTACTTTAGGTGGATCTGGGCTTTGGGGTCAAGGCTCTTGGGGAAGATGGTTGCAGCTTTCATGAGCTTGCCGCTACATCCGTACTCTTCTCTGTCTATTTAGCAGATCACCCCCAACCCCAAAACCCTATGATAAGTCTAGACGGTGTGAAGCTACCATGTGGGGTCGGGTGTAGGATTTTGTGGCTTCAGGTTTGGGGTTCACGGCTCCAGGTTTGGGTTATGTCCCATGTTTTGGCCTTGTGTTTGGGCGCGAAGGAAAAGACCTCGTGCCCAATTCATTTGAGACTTCAGATTCAGAAATTTGTGCTGGCGGCTCAGGAATTAAGGCCTGGAAGAAGGTTTCGTCAGCATGGATCATCTTGCGGTTTTGGCCCAGGGGTTCTCAGGGGCTCTTGAGCTTCTTCTATCGTAAAACAGTCAAGGCCCAAGCTATAGTCCCCCTTAAGTAGATAGAATATGGCTTTGGGTATATTATAATAAGATCCCCATATACCCTATATTCTATCTACTTAAGGGGGACTATAACTCCTAAACCATGAACCCTATATTCTATCTGCTTGAGTGGGAATATAAATCCTAAACCCTAAACCCTATATTCTCTCTACTTAAGGCTAAACCCTGAATCCTATATTCTATCTACCGAAGGGGGACTATATCTAGAGCGAAAATGTGGAGCTCGGCTCTACTACATGCTGGATCAGGTGCTTGCTTAAGAGCCGTAAACCCAAATGGTCTCTTTGGCTAGGTTCCCCAGTAACCCCTTAATAATACGGATACCCTTTTTCCTACAACTCAGCTTTAAGAAGGAGACCCCAAAGCAACAAAAGGGAAAACGGGTACTACTGGGGTACCTGGGAAGGGTTTAGGGTGACCCAAAGCTTTGACCTGTCAAGATGAGAGACATCCTCCAAGGTTGGAAACTTGGCTGCTATGTTTGCCACGATGCCGGCCTGGCAGTACAGCTATGGTCTAGGATTTATGGTTGCGATTAAGGTTTGGGGGTTTGTCATTCCCGTGGTGTTTGGGTACTCTAGATATTCGGGGCAGCATTCGAACGGAGACCCAAGTGGGATCGCAAGTTTGACAATTGCCCCGGCAACATCGCATGCCTCTCCCCCCCAAAGTAATTTATAAAGACACTGCTCGGGTGCCTGGACATGCTTGAGAAGAGGCATCTCACCAACATCCCGCTTTAGAAGCCTAAGAGAACAACATTTTGATGCAGTATGCCAGCGGCAGAAAAGGCCCTCCACGACCGTTCAGAGTCGCCGGGAACGCTTCGATGAGTCAAATGCACATCCAGTACATACAATAATGCTAGCATCCTCGCGTGCGTTTCTACAAGGGGGTATGCCTCAAAAGAATGTACTTTTGATGTGCCCTTGTTGTAAACATCGTTCACTTCGAGGTATGCAAGGAAAACCTACTTAGGCCCGTCTCTAAGTTTGCATTATTTTGAGTTCTGGCAGGGATCGCAGAAAAGAACCCTGATGCTAGGGGTTGACTGAGATGGATCTGCAACATCATGCTAGCCTTGACACCCAGATCCTCTACTCTGCTGCAAAGCTACATGTGTTTCAAAACCAGCGGGATCCTCAGGGGGATGCGTGATGTGGACACCAGCTAGAAAACTGTTGGAACGCGTTAAGTTGAAAGATTGTATAAAGACTCTTTTGAGAAAAGCCCGTGTCAAGCAACCAACTTACAAGTGATGGTGGAAGCCGTGTGTGAAACACAACCTAGAACCCACCACGCTCGGCCGCGCCCAGGGGGTTCGTTCCATAGCCAGAAAACTAGGAGCCACAAAGAAAGGAATTACATTGCAGCGTCTAGGAATTCTTCCCAAAAAAGTAACAAGGACACCAATCTAGGAATCTAGGTACCCCACGAGTAACATGGAAAACAATACAGGCCCCTTTCGCGAGTAATTACAGTAGTGTTTTGTTAGGAATGCCCTCGGGCTCCAATAACATGAGTTTCTGAGCGCGTTTCAATTTTAGGGTTCACTTACGAGTTGTTGATAGGGAATGGAGGAACGGATCTCTCTTGTAGCCCCTATAAGTGATTCCATACGATAATCGAATAATCCTAACCCTATATTAAGCCTTCTGAATATATACATATATATATATACTTGAAGGATCGTGCTGTTT